CTGCCATCATCCAAGACACTTTTCGAAGATGACCAAGTAGTCCGGGCTTTTGCAAATGAAATTCTGCGTAAGTGTGCTGCCAAAGTTACCGCCTTGCAGAAAAAACGTAGAGGCCTAGCCTGACATCGCAGTGGAAATTCCAGGCATTGGGGTATTCAAGACAAGCACTCTCAATGTTATGAAGCGTTTTTATCGAGCGAAAGCGGCGGCACGCCTACTCGAGAGCGCCGTGAATTGGATCTCGACTATAAACTTCAACCTACCCGTGGACAGGACGTTTCAGGTACAAGAAGACGCGAGCATGAGCACAAAACTGAAGGAGCTCCATATATTATCGGATGAGGTTCGTTCATGTTGTCCATAATACGTGTTCAATCACTGACATATTGTGACGTTATGTGGGTACAGATGCACGTGCTAGATGTTGCTGCAAAGGGGCAACTTAGCGACGATACTATGAGCACGTTGCTGACAAAACTGTTCGGTCCAAATCCGATGATTAGAGTGGCAAGTCCAGGCTCAATACGTGTGCCTGTTAACGGCGAAATTTGGATCGACGATGATGCTTTGCCCGCTCTGTTTTTCGGTGCATCCACGGAGCAAGTGTTGGTTCCAGTCAACTGTAACCTGAACCACTGGTGTGTTATCATGATTGACCTCAAAAAGCGCAGAATCTACTTCTACGATCCGATGGAGTCGACGTACAAGGTTGGAGTCCGTTCAGCTGTAGAACACATCAAAAATTTGCTTCGGGTGCAAGGATTCGAAGGGTGTCGCGTCCAAAGCTATGGGAGCCATCTCGGAGTCCAAACAGATAACTACAATTGTGGTATCTATGTTCTAGTCGCCTGCGAGGTGTTTGCAGGTGCACAGTCGCCGGGACTAATCGACAAGAAAACGCTGCAGTATCTGGGCTACAGATACCTTAGCTTGTGCATTTAAATACATTACATTTTTGACCAAACCAGTAGTAAGATGCGAATGAAAATGCGCTTGTGAGATGTTTCAGCCGTAGCTTGCTGTCAGTCCAAGACAGACAAAGCCGTATAAGAGTCCGGTTAATCACCGTATAGGAGTCCGCTTAATCGCAGCAAACCTGTATAGTTGCGTGACACGCAACAAAATATTACATTACTGGCTCTTTCGGTAGTTGGGATCAGATGGGCACAAATGGTCGTATGTGGGAGTCGGATGGTGTCGGATGGTGTCGGATGGGAGCTAATGCCTCGTCACATTTTCCCTCAGATGGGCACAGTAACACGTGCCTTAGATCAGCGGCGACAAATAGTTGTAAACACGAGAAAGTACTGCTCAGTGACCGAATTTGCACAATACACCTCAAGCATTTTCGGTAACAGTGGGCAATTTTCACATTTGAGACAATAGGCTTCTATACTGCAACATAGAAGACCCATTTCATCAGATCAGCAGTTTATGGCTGGTGTTTAGCGGCCGCGCTTAGCTGTTTGTTTCCTCTTCCCGCACAAACTGCCGGTACAGCGTACGATACGTGACTTTTTTCTACCAATTTTCTGTGTTTGTGACCAAATGCCCGGGCTTAACGCATCTCAGGGGCGTCTAAGCATAACGCCAAAGACCAAGTATCTTTTCTCACGAATTCATCCATTGAAAAATACGTTTTTGACGCTAAAATTTCGCTTTTTTGTCGGTGGCACGAATGTTGACCCAGGTTGCATTACGTGTTTCGATCTACACAGTACCGTGGAATTAATCCGGTGTGGGCTGTGGCACGCGCTACTTCGCCTTTAACTACGACGTCACAATCGCTGATAGTATGCCTTTAGACAATTAAAACGCCTTTAGTTTGTGGTCTACACATATATTGTGCCTTTATGGACAAACGCCTACGGATAACCACGCAGATAAATCAACTCGACTTTTAAATAAATAGTAGATCCCCTACATTTAATTCATACAGAACAAGTTTTATTGAATAAGATATGTTAGTGTAATACATACAAAACACGGACTTACACGCATTTTTTTAAATTTTTATGTATTTCTCTCTTCTCCGTTTGTTCCGTTCATCTACGTCTACTTTTTTTCGCCGACTTCACCTTGTTCTAAACCCTTTTTACAAGTTCATCAGTCTGTCTACAATTCTCAAAGTGTTGAGGTGGGAGTGGGGGTGAGAGGGGGGGGGGTGCTTCTCATAGCAGTAGCACGTAATAAACCACAGAATCCTGAGTCACAGAACCCTCACTTGCTCACGGGTAACTTTGATTAGTCCAGTTTGATTACTCAGTAGGGCGTACGCTTGAGCTATGATCAACACTCCACAGCTTGATCCATCAGGTTGTTTTGGCTCCGATAACCACTTCTTTTTTGTTGGAGGAAAAGAAACCTGATAACGCACGGGCTCGTCAGCCTTCCGAACGTAGTATTCCATTCTTGTCGCGGTAGTCCCTGAATGCTTCGTAGCACTCGTCAAAAGTGGCCTCGGAGTTACTACAAAACACAGGAAACAAATGTAAGGAACTGCATGGAAGCAAGGATAGCACAAATTTCAAATTCGTACCTGTGCAGTATTCGCGCGAACGCTGATTCCGAATCACCTCGCTGCACAACCGTAAGGCTAAATGGTGGTCCACTTGAATGATTCGCCTTTGAACGGCGCGCGAGCAGTTTCCTCCGTCGTGATATCCAATTGGTCCTGAAGAAAACTTACATCACTGCCTTTCTCTTGTGCGACTACATTCATAAGTATTTTCAGTTTTTCCTGTGCATCCGCCTTCCCTTCCAAGCGATGCATAATGTTTCTCGCTTGCTGTGAGGTCACAGGCCTCCCTGTCATCAACATAACATCATAAAACACCCAGCGGTAAAATCAAATAGGGAACAACACCCCGTGCCATTTGATTTTACCTAGTTTGTCCGTCAAGAAGGAAGTGATGCATCTAGATTCTGCGCGGGCGTGAACCATTTCGGCTAACGTGTTCAGAACTTCAGAATGATCATCGGCAGAGGCTGCTCCCAAATAGGGGCTGGCAATGTCACTATTAACCTCGTGGCTGTGTGTTCGAGTCTAGGAATACAACAGGTAAGTCAGCAAACATTGATAACTGAATACACACAGATATACAGTAGTTACAATACCTCGTTCTTTAAGAGAATTTTCCAACCGTCAGAAGAGTTGTCTACTCTTTCAGTATATCTCGCAGGAACCCTTGAAAGCGAACAACGTTTTGTCGCTTCCCATTACCCCGCGGCTTCGAGTAGCAGTCGTGTGTACACCTGTAAACTATGAGCACCCACTTGAACTTGCTAAGCAATTTCACTTCAGAAGCTCTTCAAATAATAAAGAGTTAAATTTAGCATAACAGTGCCTTTAAGTGGAAAGAAACATACCTTTACGCATATCTGGTGGTGGATCTTGCCTTCTCGTTAGTCGCTGATATCAGATCCACCTTCCGATGACTCCTACCATGCTTCCTTCATAGGATCCCCACTGGATCCACCTGTACATGGTATACCCCATATCCCCTAAGTGAACTCAGATGAGGGTGGATCCGAGTCTTCCCTTGGTGGATCCTGCCTTCCCATACGTTATCCATACCAGATCCATTGTCGGCCCATACAGGATGCCGCTTATCGTGGCCAATCCACCTTGTGCAACGTGAATCCCTGCCTGGCGATCCAAATCCTCTCTAACCACTTGAAACTGTCACTGATTCGGGATAGTGACCCCTTGTTAGGTCCATTCTCTTGTTTTTGAGAAAGCAGTTCACCACAATCGCCTCCTGTACGTGGTCGGCGCTGCACAACAGCGTTCACGACGTACACTCCCAGCGTCTCTGCGCTTCCACCAGTTTCCTCCTCTACGTTACACATGTCTCCCACCCAGCACACCAGCACATCGCCGGGCAAGGCCCCATCCGCCACTCCGCCGGCTAGCCCCTCCGTCGTGAAAAAAAACAATACTTACTTGTTGTGAGTCTCGGTGTAGCGCCAGCGATACCGAAGATGATTACCCTCTGTGTAGCTTATGGCAGCTTCTAGAATTGAATCCCAGTCGTTGCTCTCCCGTAAGGGGAAAGGCGGCAGTAAATTCGATACATGCTCGACACTTTTAATAATGCCGATTCGCTGGCCCCACGTTTTGCTGCGTCTCTGACGCGAACGCGGTAAATGGAAACCAGCTCTGCCACAGATGACCCTTCACCACAGGAGTCCGCTCTTGTTCGATTGCGATCTACAATAACTGCATTTGTAAACGCATTAGTAGTTAAATTAAAAGAAAATGCGAAAACTTGCATGTACCAGGTCTTGTGTCGGGAAGTACATTTGCAACTTCTTGATCACTATCTCTAGGCCGCTTGCGCCGGGATAGCTGATTTGGAATTGCGGTCCAAGCCTAATCGAATGGTATTTCGTTTGTTAAATGAAATGATAAGAATTATAAAGGCTGAATTTAACGTACATTCGGCTTCCAGATCCTTATCCTCGCTGTTTCCGTCTTCTTTCGGTTCGTAGTCGGAGTCGGAATTACTTTCGTGTACATGCAGTACAATCCCACTAGCGTTCGATTTGACAGCGCGGACTCCGCGGCGGCGAGGGGCACGGGCTACTTCACGTGACTCGTCTTTCTCGGAGGCGAGGCAGGCTGTGAGTCCTGTGGCACTGTCTGCATTGTCAAGGTCGGTGTTGTGTTCTTCGTCCGCTATTTCGTATTTTATCACTGCAAGTTCTCTGACCGTTTTTTTAGGGCGAAAAACGCTGTTAGATTGAGGCGTTGATTTATGTGTTCTACACGATCGGGCGATTCCTAGTAAAAAAAAAGTTAAGGATCATTCGTTTCGAGCTGTTCTTGTCGATACTGAAATGATGTTTTTTGTCAATGTTCACCTTCCGGCGCTAATATTAGGTACATTTTGACAGAATAACAGCATATTAGCCAATACTTATCCGATTTGTGTCTCTTGAAACATAGGTATTCCATAACTCTTTTCCCACAAATGATCAGGATGGTCACCTCTAGCTTAACTCCCGTACATTGGCTTGAAAGGCACGTTCCCTGTTGTTTGCAGCCAGTTGTCCGCCGGATAGTCCACATTGTGGCTCTCCACTACATGAATCGAGTAAGCATGGCGCGAGTGAGGCGATGTGTTCGCCTCACTGTAGTGCACAAAGGAGCTATGGAGCAACACGAGATCTCCTTTCTTCGTGAGCAATGGCTGACTCTCGCTAATGTCAAAAGGGACCACTTTCTCGGGCACATTCTCCAGCAACAAGCCTTCATTTCCTTCCTGCTGCTCTTTGGTAGTACGTCTCAATCTCTGACGAACCGGCACTGTCAAGTGCGACCCCGGAATGCCATGCAGACATCCGTTATCGAGGGTACAGTCCTCCAGCGCCCACCAGAATCCCACCACAGACTGAGGCTCCGTGTACAAGTAGCTGCCATCCTGATGAGGCTTCACTTCCCCTCCGATACCCGGCTGCTTAAAAATGTACATGGATTGCACCGCCATCGGCCGCACATACTGTAGGGACTTGAGGATGTCCTTGACTTCAGTCGAGTAGCTGACTTTCTCAAAGACCGGGTCGAGGTTATGCAGGTTGTGGCCGATCTTGTTGATGGCTACATCCAATGGCACTGCCAGTGTCTTCTGGTCTTCTTTGAAAGCGTGTTCCTCGAAGAAATAGCGGATCTTGTCGCCTGATTCCAGAAAATACTCGTCATTCATGCGGCGTGTCTGCTCATTGGTCGTGAAGATGGAGCGATGCTCATTTACGTCGCATTGTGTCACATATTCGCCTGCTTTAGCGCGTAGTTCATCGCATATAGAAGGGGATAGAGCCCCCGGGACGACGAGGAAGCCGTCGCGGTTGAAGGCAGCGAGCTGATCCTTTGTAAGGCCTGGCATGACGGAATTGCTATGTTCTTCCCCTTGGAGCGTTATCAGATGTGTTCCACCGAAACCTTTATTTTCTTATATGAGTTCATCCTTTGTTATAGAGTTGAGGTGCTTTTTGCCAAAATTTGACTGCAATACAACATTTCAGTCACAAAGATGCTAATGAGATAGGATTTCGTGGCATCGGATTACACGGGTAAACGTTGCTGGCCACACGTTTTGAAAACTGCGAGACAGCATGTTGAAGTTGGCCGCAGTGTAGCCATCTCGTTCGCGTAGCGGTCGGGTAGTCTGTACCCACCAGCACACCAACGCGTGTTACTCGTTCGTCGTCACAACTGCCATCTCGTGCAGGTGTCCGCTTCGATCTTTTCCACCACCCTCTGCAACCACTGACGTTGTCCATGCCAGTGAATGGGCCGATGAGTAGTGGAAGGCGTTTTCCGAGGCTTGTAGCGGTACTAGCAACGGCATGGAGCAGCACCGGAGAAAACGGCAGCTACTTGAAGGGCAAACCAAGGACCTTTTGACTGGGGCTTTTGTAGATTAGGTCTATGCCCAACGGTATATGCGATCTTATCCCTTCACCTAATGACCGGCAAAATAGTGCCGTTTACAGCTATCCTACTGCGCCTGGAAAGCTCAAGACAACGTCATCTTCGTTGATGTCGTGTTGCCATGCGAAGCCACGGAACTCGCGTTGAGGTAGTAGTAGTACGGTGTGATTAGGAAAGAGGATCGAGTTTTCTTCCAGTCATGCTGTCTGTCCTGAATAGCTCCAGTGATTTTCTCCCAACGGCAGCAACAGTCCCATTGTGTCGAAGTAACGAACTGAAGCAGCGAAACGGATCGGCCACAATCGACTTAATACACTTGCGTTTGTGTAATTGTGCGTGGAGTACACGTGCAAAACGAAGTCAATCTTCCATTGAGTCGTTTCAAGTTTCTTGAAACGTGGCCCTGCGCTCATGGTCAAGGTCAGCTCGGTTTGGGACGGAGCATACGAAACTTCCCATCGAAATCCTCGAGTTGGGCCACAGTAGCATCCAGCTTTGCTCCTCACATCCGAACTCATCGTCTATCTGCCGCGATCGGCTAACAAACGCAAGCAAAGGTCGTCGACAGGAAAACGATGGTCAACGCCACGAAAGGCACCGCCAGTACTCGAGGAGCGACAGGCCCCGCCCCGATTCTCCTGTCCCCGATATCAGTCGCGCACCGGGTATGTTCAGAGATCCCTTAGTCGCCAAGTGTGTGCGTTAGTAACTCACGGAGTTCCCATATGCGCAGAGTCAAATGATGGAGACTGAAAGTGGGAAACCGTCGACAGGAAATGCGATCCGAGATCAGTGGGTAGCGAATCTACAGAAGAAGCGAATGGACGCTGCTGCAGGTACCGGGGCTCCGATTGGCAATGGCAATCCGTTGCCCCCCGGCTCAACTATCTCGTCGAATAGCAGGTCAAACAGTAACAGCAGAAGCAGCGCAGCCAAGAAGAACAGTCGTAGTCGCAGTGCCGCCGCTAGAGCAGCCAAGAACAGAGCTCAACTCAATGCAGCTACGCTAGAGAAAAGTCTCAATGCCCACCAACGCAACATGTACCAGCACAGCCAATTCGCGACCATGTCGTCCGACTTGATCGTCGATAGTCAGATTGCCATGTGCGAAGCCGAAGCGCACGCGTATGGCCAGCCCTCTATGCTGTTTAGTGGGTTGGACTGTTTCGAGCTCGAGGCACCATCATTCTCGCGTCTGATCTCGTCTTCTCTTGATGGAGAATTCCCACTACATGCTGACCCTAGTGTCACTACCAAGAGACCCAAAAGCAGGCCGAAAAGAGCAACGAAATCATCGAAGAAGCGACCGACCCACTGCTTAGCTCTTGAAGTAGACCAGCCGAAGCCACGCACGCCGCGTCGCAAGTTAAACTGTGGCTCCGCTACATTCGATGACTTTGACCTCGACTATAGTGTCAGTTCCGGCTTCCCTGGTGTCGGAACGCCTTCCAATTTCCGTGTGGATGCTACGACACGGCATCTGTGGGGTCAGGAGCTCGAGTTGACCGGTGCAGGAGGCTACGCAGACACCTTTCTGGACCTCCCCACCCCACGTCTTGCACTCATGTCGACTTCTCAACAGTCGAAAGCCAGCACCGCTAGTAACAGTAGTAAACAGTCGAATGATGAGCCGGATAATCAGGAGGAACTGGAGCATCCTCGTCTGATCCGCACGAACAGCATCGAGCAAGAAGGCTTGAGCTACTTCCTAGAGCAGACGAACTTGGACGGCGACGACGGTGGCCATGGGGAACAGCTGTACCAGCTTGCAGAGGCGCCTCTTGTTAGTGGTCGGAAGTCTCCGTTCTCGGGTGGCTCGTTCTTCTCTACTAGCGCTACGCCACGGACTGCGGCGGCTGCAGCAGTAGTGGACGAGTGCTTCGGAGGGAAGGCTGCTGCTTTCGCTTCGACATGGCCAATGCCGTCGCCGCTGGGCTCCCAATCTCGGCGAAGTCGCATGACTCCTCGGGACCCCAAGCATCCGCCCGAGTTCGAAACGCTGACAGACGAGTACAAGCTCACTGACATTGATCACGAGCTCGACACTTTTTACCTCGACACTATGGAAGCGATCGGTAACGACCTCGATCTAATGTCGAACTGAAAGTAAGCCGAGCCACGTCGTAGAATACTTAAGTAAATCGCATAAAATTATGATAATAGAGCCCCACCAACGCATTTTAAAAACGTTAGAAAAGTGACACTGTAAGCATGTGTCCGTTGTATCTAAGTTCTGAATTATCTGCAGCTTAAACTCTGTTTTCCTGTCCGTTTATTTAAGACATAACACGCTTGTGCAGTGCCTTCCCGCGATGGTTGAACACGAGGAAGTCCGGGCTCGAGATGACAGTGGCCAGCGACCTGCATCGATGACATCGAAAATCCTCAAAATTTAGTTTCTACAGCTCACATTCTGTAGCGTAATTGCACGTCGTACCGGGAGTGCAGTGCGTCGTTGGAGCGAATGGGCAAAATCTCGCCAGACGTGAGTAGAACGCCTACAAGCGATATCAGGAAGGCCGCAACGAGCTCCACCACGACCTGATTAGAAATAATTTTATAGTCAATTAGACGCATTCATATATCGGTTCACGGGGCCGTAAGTTACCTCGAAGGGGGGCATTTGCGCGTCCGCCGTCTCAGTCAACTTGACATACGACTCATCTGTAAGGGGTTTATAGCATCAAATCGTCGTTAGAAACGCATATCTAATACTGCATCGGAAAGAGGAAACGCAGTAGCATACACTGCACTGAGTAGTAACCGGCGTGCACGAGCAGCAGCGTCCCCACCGCGATCAGAAGCTTGCCGAAGAAAGCCATAGGTGTCACTTCGTATTCTGTCGAAAAATGTGAATCAAAACCTGGTGTAATCCATAAATAAACTCAAGCCTATCATAATACGTAAGAGTGCGGTAGATCTGATTCTGTATCAGAATTATCCCCGTCCAACTTGATCATTTCGTATTCGCGATGATGTTCTGGGGGCGAGGTGGCGGCGGTAAATCCGCCACGACGTCGGCTACGGAGCACGCCGACGCGACTCGATGGGTCTCCGAAGATGCACAGAGCGCGGCAACCTCAACCATACCAATTGCACCTTCCTACGTCCTCTCAGAGCAGCGTCGGAGCGAGTTGTTGTTAGCTGCACGCACCAATCGCGTATCTTGGGTCGACGGCGTGGATCAACGCGATCGCACCGCCGGATCCAATGGGTTTCCAAGTAATTTATCAGCTTCCATCATCCCCAGTCGTTGTCACGACGCCCTCATGAGCGTCAACGACGAGTTAGCCAAGTTTTTCGCGAGCTTAGACGAGCTGAAGCTCAAAATTCTGCCCAATGAGCTGCAGCTCACAGAGGAGGAACCAGAGACAGCTACAGACACCCGCAACGCAACCAGACGCTACCGAACGTTATTCCAGGAGTTGAGAGAGCAGGAGACGCTTCTAAATCAATGGCAACGCTCTCACAGTCCACGGACGAAGAAGCTGATGGGGCATGATCGAGAGATGGCATTTCTAGTGGGCTTCCGCGAGCTTGTGACGCTGTTAAAGAGCGCTCAGGCAGCCGAGCTGGTATACCGTATCCAGTCTTTTGTCAAGCGGGCGGAGCTGTGGGAGCTGCCGCTTATGCTCCGAGCGATTGCCACGAGAGACCGACCTGGAGGAAAAGTGCAGGACTTTGTCAGCAAATTGGTCGGGCAGATCAGGCACAGTGACAAGTTGCGGTCATTGCTACAAGGCGGTGAAGACACAGAGACGCAGCGTAGACATCTGCATGTGAGAGATCCGTACGGAGTGGATCTGCTACATGAAGTTCTGGAAGCTTTCTTGATGGAGAAGCTTTATAGCAAGACGCTGACTCCATCGAGCGTCGTAGAGAGTCAAGACGAGGCGTTCCATCATCGTGTCAGCTTGTTGGGCTTCGTCACCTTCAAGCATCTCGATCTGCCAATACCAAAGACGAAAGAGCAGGAACAAACGTGGCTTCGTCTCGCCAAGCAGCTGGAAGGTGTGACGTTGTGTCCGAGTCCTCGACGCAAGATGGACGCGGTGATGCGAGTCTGTCAGGACCTGACGACTTTCTTAAAGGCGCAAACTGGCGGTCGATTCCCGTCAGCAGACGATTTTCTACCTGCTCTCATCTACGTCGTGTTGCGTGCCAACCCGCGCGAACTTAAGCGCAACGTGGCGTTTATCTTGGAGTATCGAAACCCTGCGAAGCTGGTGTCGGAGCCGGGGTATTTCTTCACCCACCTCGTCTCCAGTGTGGCCTTCCTCGAGGAAGTGAATGGCTCTAGCCTCACGATTTCGTCGCAAGAGTTCGACGAGGAATTGCGTCGAAGCAAAGAGAGTCTCCGACTGAAAGGTGTCCATAACGATGTCGACCACGAAGTCGCGAGTAACGCGAGTAGCGGCAGTACTGGAGAGCCCGTGAACGTCTCAGCAAACGTTCCGCAGAAGGAACGTCGACAGCAACTGCTAGCTGATGATCCCGGTACAAGGGAAGAGGAAAAGGCATTGCCCACTGTACTCGAAGTTCGCGCTAGACGCTTAGCTGTAATAGGGCTCTCGAGCGATTAGACAAATAATGAAACGAACAGCCCAAAAATATCATTACAATGTATCACACTAGTCGCCTTTCGTGACATTCTCTTAACTTTTCGTGCTCCAAGTCTTGAGTTACTTACAATGTCTTGCGAAAGTCTCTTAGTCTTCTTTTTTTTACTGTACTTTTTTATTGAGCCTTGGTTTCCACTCTATCTTCACACCTCAAGCCGACAAACCAGACGCAACTACGAGATGCCGCAAGCTCTTGGCGTTAACATTCGCCTCAAACGCCGCACCAACCGATTTGTCAGCCGAACAAGCAGCGAAGGTGAAGCCACCGGCCACAGTGAGATTCGTGTATTGGACGATAACTTTACTGAGCAGTATCATAGAGAGGACCGGCCAAAGATATCAGACAAGAAGCAAAAGACGCTACGCTTTGGAGGAGGCCCACGCTCATTCTCTAGTCGTCGACAGCAGTTTACTATCTGGAAAGGGCAGGCAGCCAGTAACGCAGTCAAGGTACTACGTGGTTGCTATTCGCTTGCTCGGCGTGAGCTGACAGCTTGGAGAAGCCGCACGAAGGCGACATGTACTGAAGAACGGACGAGTGAGATTAAGGCTACCCTTCGTGGGGAATCGAACTCTTCGAAAGGTCTCAAGCGTCCACGCAGCTATTCCCGGACTTCAGTCACCTCCAGTAACAGCATCGTGAGCTCACTGTCGTCAACAACCGAACTGGAGAATGAACATCAAAAAGAGCTCATCCGCTCGGAGTTCTCGCTTCGTGTCCGACGTAGCAGTTCACTTGAGATGAAGCCCAGTTTGCACGGTTTTACTGAGACGACAAGCGGTAACCACGAGCGTCTGTTGCTTGTCAATGCACTGCCTCTTAACGACGAAGATGAAGACGACGATAGCTCGTTAACTTCTCATCACCTTCCGTTCCGATCGGTATGGATCAACGGCCACGTTCGTGTGCTTCACAACGAGTGGGTATGATCCCATAGCTCTACACTGCCACTACAGACATGCTGAGCATTATTACGTCAGCAAAAGAAAAACGAAATAGCACTGCTATAGTTTCAGGATCCCTAGAAAAGGATCTACCTTTTACTTATTATATGAGATTCCGTCAAACAAAATGATACTTACGACCATTCTCAATAACAATTTGGTAATCGCGATTCGAACATAAGTACGAATTGCGATTACCAAATTGTTATTGAGAATGGGCTTCTCTAAGCAGCCATTATTTTAAACAATAAGACGGGCTGCGTTTGTTAGAGGCATTTTTATTATACAACACTAATGTACTGGATTTTTTGTCACCAGGTCTGTAAAAATAAATAAATCTGTGTAGCTACGGTACGTATTTCGTTTTTTTTTTGAATATTTTTTTTATTGACATTAACTGACAAAACCTATTTTCTTGTTGTGTATGGTCCACACAGACTGAAGACCTCTCTGAAGCCCAAGCTGCGCCAAGAAACACGATGGTGGTCTACATACTCGATGCTCGCGCAGCGCGCGAGTTTCTCAGCGCTGCTGACGAAGACACTTCTGACGTATTGCCCACCCCAGCAGCACACCGCAATCTGAAAGCGCTCAAGGACCAGCTATCGGACGTGGAGTCCGTATCGAAGAGGCCTCAGTGCGATGACCTCAATTTACTGGATGCTCGCGACCTCCTCGATGGTTTGCAAGAGATCCAGCCATCCTTTGCTAGGTACCTGGGTATGTCATTTGCTTACTTTGATTTATTTACTTACTTATTTTATTCCTTTTTTTTATTGATGTAGAGCCAAACGCTGGTATTGTACACTCGCCTGACTTTGAGTCGGGAGTGGTGAAAGTACTGTCAGGTCAGGTCAAGCGGTTGTCCCGTGGTGAGCACGCGGCACTTCAGTCTCTGAAGAAACCGTCTGAGCCTTCTACCCCAGCGCCGGAGCCGACCAAGATGGGCTTTGCCGACAGGATTCTGAAGAGGCGCAAGACGCAAGACGCAGGACACACCATGCGAATACGAGCTGCTGGACGTCATCCCACCGACGTCCAATATTGTGGAGCGGTTGTTCAGCTCTGTTCGCATGATGCTACGGTATGGACGGAACAGGATATCTCCGTTTACGCTGGAGATGATACTGTTTCTAAGGTTCAACGATGCGTACTGGGATGTGACCACCGTGGATGATTGCATTTAGGCGGCTTCAACCAGGCTAGCTAGTTTATTTTACTCATAATCTCCGTTTGCAAAGTCATCGGTCCAATTATTTATTTGCTGAGCTCTTAGGCTGCCGCGCGTTATGTATTTCTCGATGTCCTTTGAGTTTGAAATAAATTATTTTTTTGGGCTCCCTGTGTATCGGTCTACAAGAGGGCGCAAGCCCATAGCGAATGAAAAAACGCCTAGCCGGCGTAGCAACAGCCTTCCGAAGGTTATCCGCTTATTAAAGGATTCAACCATAGAATCTCTACTAGAATACTCTAAATCGTGTCTATACTAACACTTTGCAGCTTGTTTTATCGTGCGCAGCTTTTCATGAGTAGTTGTACCTGGTCAAGTTCCACCTCGTAGAGCCAGGAAGCTGCGAATGGCCAAATTTAGCCGATGGCTGGCACAGCCTACCGGTGGGATCTCCATAAGTCTGGCAAGGCGCTAGCTGACTGCGCAGCTATCGCCAACTAAAACCTTCACATTAGCGAGGCTCTTACCAAAAAAAAAGGGCAGAAACGCGGCAAGCGCAGCCATATGGGTATCAGCGTTAAGCGAGTCGTCTGGACTATTGATCACTGGTGCATGGAGAGAAGGGGGCAGCGGCGCACACCATTGTGCTTGTAGCAGCCGTACAATGCCATGTAGTTCTCGCTGCCGAACGTGCAGTCGTCGAGAATAACTCCAAAGCATTCCGGCAGCTCTCCCCCATGTGTTTCTCCGCAGCCTTGGTGACGAGCTCCATGTCGTGAGTGATGGTCTCCTCACACACGTTCGCCAAGTTCGTGTACCTAACATAAAAATTAGAGTTAAAAAAATAATTTAATATTTCGTCTAGATCGTCATGTGAGTAAATTTCTGGTTGTCTCCATTTCGTCGAATGCGAACGGAAGGTTGCCCTTGACGACCCAGTCGATCCACGCGTACCGGTTTGACGTCTTCTGGCGAACCCACGGAATGAGAGTTCCGGTAGCAGTGGTTCTGACTGCCTCCATTTCCACCTCGAAGCGAGGGTGGTTACCCCGCACATGAGACATTAAATTGGTGTACCCAGTTTTGGGTACACGCTTTCTCGTCTTTCCGCACGCCTCGCAGGTCTGCAGACCCGCTGGGTCTCCTTGCTCATCTAGCATGGACTTGAAGTAGAAGGACGTCGCTTGTTTCGGTGAAAATTTGCACTTTGTAGAAGACGAGGCGATAAGAAAGTTGGGTATGGTGTAATAAAAGAGTAGGTTTTGTTAAAATGTTCCTGGGAAGTTGCATAATGAGCTAGAATATGCGTTTTGGAGAAGTCAAGGGGCACAAAACCAACCACAAACTGTTGGTTGTTGTTGTCCGGGGGAAAGAAATTGGGTTGTGGTACACCAACTTCGTAAATACATATTTTGCTGAAGCATTTTCATAAATAAATTATTGAGAGAGACTATAAACAATAATTGGCAATAAACATATTTATCGGGCTTCCTGTATCACTGATAACCAGTGATACAGTCAGACGAAGTCGATAGTCTCCTTCTCAAAGTCCACCTTTAGCTTCCAGGCGAGGTTGTGGGCCCACAGAGTGGGCAAATTCCCAGGTGGGCTCAACCATCGAATGAGATAAAACACAAAATAATTTACTTAGCTTTTCGGGTACACAGCCTGTCAGCGTATCGGTCAAGAGAACTTCTGGATTAGAATTTATTACTTCTTAAAAGGACATTAACATTGTCCGATTTTCTGCTATAAAATGTAATTTATAAAAGAAAATTTGGAAAAGGAAAATGAGGAGATATATTTTTAGATGAAAGCAATGCAAACGTGGCTAAATTTCAGCAAAATTCAGGCTAGTTTCTTTTAGCCTCTACGCCAGAGCGTTTCGCGCCTGTTTTCGTTTATGTTTCGGTTTGGGTCCCGGCTTTAGCTTACACTTACTGATACGAGCTGATCCACCCGAAGATGCGGGATACATAGTGCAGTGTCGGTTGTTAGTGTCATGCTTGTTGACCATGGTCTAAACGGAAAGATGTTTGCATCACGATGATGTCCTATTGACATCTGTGTAGAGTCGTACGCTTCCCGTCCTCTGTAGCAGCACAAATAGCGGGGATACAGGGAAATTCTTCCTGCTACCCGCCACGGTACATTCTGAATCCTAAATCGTGTTTGGACCATCCATCAGCTATATTTTCGTGCTTTCAACTCTTTAAACACAGGTAAAAGCAGTCTATTTTTTTAACGTCATGCTCTAATTACATGTTATACAGGACAATCATTTACAAGGCGTGGAGCTTAAAAATATTTATGAGTATTTTGAATGGAGAGTAATGAGATAGTTCTTTTTTTTTACAATCCAATCATTTACTCGCATGCGTACTTAGCAATTAACTGTTTTTTCTACAAGTGCGAACTTAGGGGCTAAAGCTATCTGTGTATTATGTGTTTCCACTTTGTATGGTATTTTTTTAAAGATTGGGATTAACGGTCACCGCTAAACGTTTCATATGTACTGTTTTACGGAATTATCTTCGTAAACTGTTTAAGCACAATAACAAATATTTTAGTCAAGTACTTTTATTTTTAATTTATAAAAAATTAAAGTACCTGAATAAAATATTTGTTATTGTGCTTTTCAGCCTTCCGTTTCAGGGCAAAACTAAAGAGGGCAATTTCTAGGCTTGTGCACAACGAGA